ACTAAACATAAACCAACATTTTCAGCATGCCATTGTTGACTAAACATAAACCAACATTTTCATCAACAAATCTCAGAAACTCAAAAAGGAAAAGTACAAAGTGAACTTGAAACCTACAATCTTTAACATCTGTGTGCAACATTGAAGATACTTGTACTCAAGAGACAATTATAAATTCTTAACCAAACAGCACATGTCTCACAAGAGGTCCAATTCATACACATCCAAACATAACCTCTGTTGTGTGTGCAATTGCCATTAATATTGGTGAGCAAGAGACATGAATAGGAACAATGTATCCATTGCTATTTTGATGTTATCAAAATATTTTTCCACCAAGAAGCAACACAAAACAACAGCAATTGCAACTCAAGATTAAGAAAAGTATGCATCCTTACCTATTTTTCCCAGCTCATTGTCCGGAAAAGAACCATCAGCAATTGAGTTTCTCTTTTCTGCAATTCACAAATATAAATTCATGACTTGCAATTGAAAGTAAGAATATCAGGCTAAAGGACAACAAATGAAAATATTACCAAAGAAAGAAAACAAGGGATGATGAGACATATAAGCTGCTATATCCAGTGTGTCTTCAGTTCTTCTTCTCTTCTTTCTCTTCACAACCTTATCTCTTAAACTATTACAAGAAAATGGAAGTGACTTCGAACCTAAACCTTCCAATTCAACACTTCCCAGCTGAAGTTGCATCTGACACTTGATATCCCCCATTTGTTTCTCATATTTTCGAGCTCGAGACTGAAGCATATGGAGTTTCAGTTCAATCAACTTGCATCGCTGCCTAAGAGGTTGTACAAAGTCTCTCCAGTGAGGGGTCACCTTTTTCCTCCTAAAGGACAATAACAAGGTAAATGTTAAGGTTTTTACAGATATTCTCTTACTCTGGAAAGGGACAAAACACCACAAAAAGAACTACAGCACCCCTCAACGAATGTTGAATCTGACACATGAACCTTGACACAAGTCAACGATGAGACAACTAGTTAGTTCTGACTGTGAACAAGAACCTCAAAAGTCAGTTCATGGCAGACTTAGTTGAACAACTGCCCTAGGAGGGTACCCTTGGGGTTGAAAATCTGAGTAACGAAACCAAGGTTCAAATCTTAGTAGAGGTGACACTAAGTGAATTCTATCTATATGCCGAAACCTTGGTGAAGGTAGTATATAATAGGTGAATTAGTTGAGGTGCGCACAACCTGGCCCGACCACTACCGTTATCCAAAAAAGAAAAAGAGCTTGGTTTAACAACTAAACCATGCATAGATAATTCTTCAGACAAACCCATTCATTTAATGTAACAAGAAAATTGACTTTAATAGATGTGCCGGCGCATGTTCACTGGCATGATTGTGCCACCAGAGCACATTTTAACAGTAACCACTCACTCTCCATCCACTCATCAATTTCCAGAGTTTATTTCTCTCCTCTATGTAACTTTTGCAAACTCCAGCTTTTGTTAAGAGTTATAGAATAGATAAAATGGCAATCACCATCTTTCTCTATTTGGAAGGTATTACTTTTTATTGATTTATCATTCACATGTCAGCCAATACTCTAACTCTTTCTCTCAACCTAATTAAATGCCCAAACAATCAGTGACAAACAAGTAAACCCACCACAAACCCAGAATAGCTCTTACTAGGCATGATGGCAATGTTCTCGATTAGCTCATTTTATCACAAATAAGGCCATTAAGGTCTAAAAGTACCAGCCATAATATCCTAAAGAAAATACTCATGAAATCATCTTTAGGCTCAATTAATATCATGCAACGGAAAATAAAGATGAGCAACTTTTTGTACATGATTGCGCAAAGTTAAAAATGCTAGTATGAGTTTACCCACTGACAAAATGTCAAGAAAGAGAGCTTGAGTTCTGCAATCAGTTTCCTTTTCTGATGAATGAAGCAATGGATTCTAATGTTTATTCACATATGAATCATCAAATTCAAGGCACCAGAAAACAAAATGCAGCCTATAGAGAAAAAAAAAATAGGGATATCCAAGAAATAAGGATCTTGGAGAAGTAATACATACGTCATCCTAAATATGTCACCAAATCCACTAAATGCTAGTCGCGATGTAGCGTCACCGTTGTATTCTGATGTACACTCGGCATCACTCATAGTTGTGCAGCAATTCTCTGCTTCAGAAGAAATACTCTCAAAAGAACTTGAACTCTCTGTCAATTCTTCCTTGTCTGATTCCACTAGCACATTATTAGTTGGTCTTGTACATTCTGTAATATCAATTTCATCATCCTCACTGCCATGGACTCCCTTTACTTGTTCAACCAATGAGGTACAGTGTTCATAGTTGCTTACATGACTAGCTTCAAGTTCTTTAGAATCAGTTCCGTTCTCCTTCTTTGCAGAAGCCTCCAAAATCATGTCTGCGTTTTGCTTGTTCTCTAATTCAGGTCCCATTTTGCAATATCTTGATATTCAACTCATCTCAGCACAATGAGAGAGAACACTATGCAAATAACCTGCCACAGAAGCAGAAATTGCTCATGAGAAACTCCAAGACAAGATATACAAGATTTCCTTTCTTTTGTAGTATATCCAATTTGCAGGGTTAACCCTTTATTATTTCCAAAAGATAATGAAGCAAAAAGAAGATAATATATCTGGGCATTGCCAAAACCGGGAGAACCAATGATTGCTTCAGGTTTTCAAATGGCATTTACTGGAAGAAAATATCAATATGTTACCCTAGAATGAAAACTCATCTTTTTCTCATTAAATAAAAATATATCTGCTAATTGTTATAGTTTTGACTGATCAGTGACCAGTGCTTTGGACCTAGAGGCTAGAATACCGTGCTTTCCCAAATAAATTAGGTGAATAACGTTACATTCCTCTTGTATTTTGCCTTCATTCGTCTTCTTTCTTTTTCTCCCCTAACAAATTTAATTCTTTTTCTCCCAGCAGATTGTCCGTCTACCACCTTAGTTTTTTTTAAGAAAAAAAAAATCTCTACACAGAATCAAAAAAAAAACCGAGAGATTCAACACTAATCAACAGTTCCCAGTACAATTCTGACTAAATATAGCTCCATACCCAAGCATTCAAAGAAAGCCAGGATCTTTGAATTAAAAACCGAGTCTTAGATTTCTCCTTTTCCCCCTTTTCAATCTATTACTATCAACACGTTTTTCTTCAATATTTATGGAAAATCAGAAACTTTTTTTTTGTTGTTAATTTTGAAATTCAATTATTTACCAGCAGTAATTTCGAATTAAATTAGAATACTCCTAAGTCCTAAAACATAATAGTAGAGCTTTAAAAAACACAAAACCCAAAGATAATTAAACGAGACGCAGACCCTTCTTGAACCCATCAGAAAACCAAATTCAAGAAAGTAATATCAAAAAACCGAAACTTCAAGACCCAATTCCAAAATTCTATAAAAAGGTGAAGAGAAGTAATCATACATACCTCTGTGGAAGATACAGAAGAAGTTCCCAAGATCCTTTGCAGCTGCGATTATCAAAAGAAACAGTTTAATTGGAAAGTTTTCAACAGACTCTGTCCTGATTTTTCGTCTTCGCCGAGGGAGTGAAAGTGCCCTGGGGGTGGGTGGGGGTGAGGGGTGGGGGGTGCGTACTGTACGAGGTGGATGGGATACTGACAGAGAGACGTGTTTCAGTATCTGTCGAATGCTTGGGGAAGAAGCACAAGCTGATTTCCTTTACAGGAAACAAATCTTTTACGGAGTACTACCTTTTTAATTTGGCATTCTTCCTTCGGCTTAAATTTATAGCGCTTTTGAAAGCGAATACACAAATTTTGTATTTTTTATTTGAACACTTTAATTTGACAAAATGAGTAATAATAAATATATTTGACCGTTGACCATGCTTATATGAAAGTACTACAGCTGATATAGCTAAATTGTGTGCAAATCATGTTCCTAAGACGCGTGAATAGTATTATTTTTACTTAAAAAAATTAGAATTAGAATAAAATATAAATAAAAAAGAAAAAGAAAATATTAAGTGATGTTATCATATGAGTAAGTGATGTTATGAACTTCACCAGACCATGTCGGAGCATGTAAGTTCAGAATCCTAGCGAAAGAGGCCGAGTAGAACTGGAGGGTGCATTGGCATTTGGTCGAACACTGTTATATGAACAGTGTGCGGAATGACCATTTTGGATATTCGAAAGATTTGGCCCATGTAAGGTCTGGTTTGAAGGTTTGGAA